TTAACAGCTAATCCACTTTAACAGCTAATCCACTTTAACAGCTAATCCACTTTAACATCCATTCCATTTTAACAGCTAATCCACTTTAACATCAATTCCATTTTAACAGCTAATCCACTTTAACATCCATTCCATTTTAACAGCTAATCCACTTTAACAGCTAATCCACTTTAACATCCATTCCATTTTAACAGCTAATCCACTTTAACAGCTAATCCACTTTAACAGCTAATCCACTTTAACAGCTAATCCACTTTAACATCCATTCCATTTTAACAGCTAATCCACTTTAACATCCATTCCATTTTAACAGCTAATCCACTTTAACATCCATTCCATTTTAACAGCTAATCCACTTTAACAGCTAATCCACTTTAACAGCTAATCTACTTTAACAGCTAATCCACTTTAACATCAATTCCATTTTAACAGCTAATCCATTTTAACAGCTAATCCATTTTAACAGCTAATCCACTTTAACAGCTAATCTACTTTAACAGCTAATCCACTTTAACATCCATTCCACCTCAACAGCTAATCCACTTTAACAGCTAATCCACCTTAACAACCATTCCACTTTAAAAGCCATTCCACCTTAACAGCCATTCCACCTTAACAGCCATTCCACCTTAACAGTCAATAAATGCTAATGTCCTCTCCGTCAGCTGTCTGTCTGTCTGTCTCTTTGTGGATAAGTGAGTTTATAATGAGATGAATAACAATCTAAATATTGTGTTTAGTGGCTTCAAAGAGATTCAAACCGAGTTCACTGATACTGAGTTAATGACAGGTAAACGCTCCTCTATTCCTAATTATCCAGAATCAAAAAGTCCACTAAAGTGTATAAATCAAAGTGGATCAGGGAAGTTCTGAGTGAACAATTCTTAAAATAAAGCACAGTGAAAACTTAATGGGCACAATTTAGACTATATTTTAATATATTCTGAGTAAAAACTGTCTTTTAAAAGTCAGAATTGATCTTTAGTATCTCAGTATCAGCTGGAGGTGATGCGTCGCTTCATGTTCATTCAAACCTTTAAACAATCTGTGAGTCTATGAATCTATAAGATCAGTATTATTTAAACGTGTTTCAGTAACAGCTGTATCAGTGTTTGAGTGTCTTATAAAAGATAACCCACCGGGGAAATAACCATGAGTCGTTAGGAATAACAGATGATGGTCAAATAAGTTGGTGTTTGACTATATAAGATAATATCTGGAATAAATGACCATCATTGTGTCATCAAAATACAGTTAAACCAACATTTTGTATATTTCTTTAACTTTTAAAGTGCCCGTATTAGTGAGCCTTATTTATAATAATAACTTTTAAATATTTAGTAATTTAATATATTACATTTTAATATTTCTTATGTCGTTCTACCTCATGATTTTATTAAACAGTATTGTTATTATTCCTAACGTTGCATATCTTTATTTTCCTGAATTTTTTATCGCACTGATTTTATTTATTTAAAAATATCTAATTTATGAGTTTTCTACTTTCTGAGACGGTGATCCTGAGGGTTTTTATCCGTCATGTTTCTAACGTGTGACGCGTGTTTCTCCGTCTGTCAATGTGTTATAAAGTGATTTCAGTGAAGTGCTTTTATTTTGAAAGGGAGAACCACAGTATGATTAAACGGGGACCAAACTTAACAAAACCTTAATGTTCAAAAGGACAAACGGTGATCTGTCATTGTTCTGAAATAAAATGTTAAATTAAATACGTGTCTTTGTGGTTTTTGGCCAGCAGGGGGCAGCACAGTACAGCGACCCGAAACTCCTCCATCAGGAGAAACAGCTTCAGAAAGGATGCAGATATAAAAACTCAAATGAAAAATATAAGTTGACTGAAAAAACTAATTGACCAAATAAATTGACTAAAAATTATTTGACCAGAAAAAAAGTGGACCAAAAAAAAGTTGCTCCAAAAAGAGTGGACCAAAAAAAGTTGACTAAAAGATAAGATGTCAAAAAAAATGTAA